GCGACAGAACAAGCCAGTTGCTCATCAACGCCACGAAGACGGCTTGGCTGGGATGCTGGTAAAAATCGAAGAACCGGCTCATGTAGTCGAAATTGACCTGGAGTAACATGAACAGTGCGGTGCTAGCAGTCTTTTGCCTCTTCTTGTCGCCCAAACGCTGCAGCACATGCTTCCTTTGTTTCGGGTGCCCGACATGCAACAATGAGCTGATTCTGCACGGTCCCTTGCGGAACGTTTCCTGCTTGAGAAGGGCTCGTGCAGATCTAGAGGAGGTCAGGGGGAGCAACAAGCTCGAGGTATGGTGAATCTGAAACATGCGGTCAGGGCGCAAGGCTGAGATACTGGCCGAAGAGGCTGTGGCACACCAGCATCCTTCGAAGCAACTTCAGTGGTATACGCAGGCGCTTGCGTGTTCGAAGTTTGATTTGGCCCACGACATATTAACACCTTCATGGAGAACATGGCGAAGGAGCCCGATGCCCCTTGAAGCGTTTCTGCTAGAGCTTAAGAACCATTCAGAGCTGCATTATCGAGAAGTTGCTTCTCTCGGCATCGCGTCAACATCCACCGGGCAGCTTCTCATTCATTCACCATTTCATCGGATACACTGTTTCAATGAGACATGAAGAAGAAGCGGCAACCCATTGGCGCGATGCCTCAAAATCACATCTTCCTGCACCCGACTGTCGGTCAAAGGGCCTTTAGGGGAGCTGGCAGCCATCCTTCGGACTGCGTGTGCTTCCTTCTCCCCGGGACACTAATGAATGCAATTCAGCAGGATGTGGAGTTCTGGAACTCTTCTTGAGATGTCCCGAAGAAGTTTTGAAAGACTTCCCTCTCCTTGCAAGCTCCTGACGAACATTGCGAATACACAGCCGAAGCCCTTCAAGTCCAAATCGCTAAGTAAACCTCATGCATGACTCGAATCTTCACGAATCCGAATCTTTACTTTGGCTGCTGGGACATGCTGGGACCGAAAAGAAGAAGGGCGCACAGTTTTTGCACTTCTGGGAGGTGTTAGGCTGCAAACCCTGCATGCAGAACTCTGGCACCGGCAGGGCAAGCGTCATCATGTAGGATCGGCCCTTGACTCGACCGGCCCCTTCCTTGGCTCGAAGGACCGTTTGAGTTGGACCATGGCAGTCCCTTCTGTTAAGTTAACTGCTTTCGGGGTGGCACGGTTTCTGGTTCATGCCAGAGCTAAGCAACGAATCGGTTCTTGCGCGCAGTGTCTGAAGACTATAAAAGGCCAAGCTGAGAATTCCGGGTCCCCGGCGAAGTAGATCCTCGCCAGGCTGTCCGCCCTTCGAACCAGCTTCACAGTGAGGCCCGCGAAACTCGTATCCACGCGCTCCTCTGCCCCTCAGTTCAAGAAATTTCTTCGATTCCATGGATAGAGGCACTGGAGAGCTGCATTGATGGCTCTCTTGGGGTTTGGCATCCTTGTTGATATCTATCTCGCATCCTTCATGCAAAGATCTACTTCCACCCCATGTGCACTCGATGATGCCACTCACACCTCATTGCCAAAGTCAAGTTGCCTTCAGACGCGTCCGTTCTTTGCGCGCTGCGGGACCAGTCCACCTCCGACCACTTGAGGTGGAGCGCCTGTGCAATGCGAAGGGGCTTTAGGGACAGAGCTTCATGACGAAGCATCTTGAGTTGATGCTCATGTCGTAACAATGCTATACTACGGCAAGCAGCTACTAGTCACCTTGGGCTTTGTTTTACGTCAGTGCCGGATCGTGCGTGATGTGGGGTGGGCATGGGGGCAGGTTCCCCCAGCCATACCATCAGGGAGTGGGGACCGGAGAGACGTACAGTATCTACTTTGTCATCTAATCGGCTTGGCTAGGCGACCGGCTCGAGAATTTAGGTACAAGTTTGGGTTCCTGTATCTAGAGTAGCCCATGTCAGCACCGGCGCCTCGAATAGCAGCGATGATACCAGCAATATCCTCAGAGGCAGGTCCAGTCGACTAGTTTCAGCTTGGTGCCGAGGAGTGCCTTGAAAACCTATGAAGTCTGTGGCCCGCTGCCTGCTATCCTTAGAGCCCTCAATAAAGGCAAGTGCGTTCCGTTTTGGAAGGAGGTGCAGTCAACGATACGAATCGCAAGACGAGGCTCGGCAGCCAGAAGTGCGAGAGGACAAACATCTTGTCATGCTCCTTCAGGGGGAAGCACCCCCTTCGGCCAATTTGAAAGGAGTAGGCCTGTGGTGTTTCGAGACCCTCTTCGCAGGGGCTCTTGCTTTGCAGGTGCTACTGTGACCATTGATGCACACCTGATCCCATGATGTACAGCGCTCCTTCTGCGGGGTGTTCAGTAATTTTTTGCCTGGGACGTACGTCGGGTTTGTGGAGGGAGCATGGAGTCTCTCAGGAACGAGGGCTCGGATGATCGAAACTTCAAGCTGCCGCAATCAGATTCTTCAACTCAGATTTGAAGCAGCATCCCCCCAAGACTTCTGAAGTGCAAACTTCAGAGCGACTGGCCGAAACTGTCTGGCCGATCTCCGTTTCGCGAACTTCAAAGCCAGTCCCCAAGTAATGCGCAAGTTCCGCTGCCAGGCTGCTGGAGTTGTGGTGCGCCTGTGCCGTGTTGTTTCCCGGGGCCTCACAGGACAACGAGGTGATGTTTCGATGTCTAAAGACAAGCGCACGCACACACCATTGATACCGTTTGACTAGTACCCACGCTACCGAAATCGAAGGCTCGCGTTCGAGGGTCCCGGGCTTGCAACGAAACGAGTCCTGCGAGGTGATGCTCTCATCAAAGTTGGCTTCAATGAAGGATGCCACTCCATCTCCTCAGGCTATGCTCAAAAGCGGCAGGACGAAGGATCCAAAGTGTCTGGCAATCTCAAAATAAAGGCACACCCTTAGTGTTACAACTCCGCAGTGAGCCGGAGACGCTTTCTGCAATCCATTGCAACCTTGTCTTGTGCGCCACCGCCATGCGAATTTTCGAATCCGAAGGTGGTGGGAGCGACTTTCTTCAAGTCTCAAAGGTTGGGCAGAAGGGTTCCCATCTCGACTCGAACTGCGAACCTGCGAGATCCGACTGGCACCGCAAAGCTGCCAGAAACTGCAAGGTGTGTCTGCAATTGGGGTCACCACGGTGATGCATTAAGCGTAGATGGTGGTTCTGTGTGGCGTTTGCCAGTTGGCGTGGTACCTGCGGGCCCGAAATCGCCAACTGCGATTTTTCATCTTTCTGAACCAAAACGAGGACCCTGGGACCAACGAACATACCAGTGTTGAGATCTTCCGCATTTTGGTTTGGACCACACATGAGTATAAATAGCTTTCTGCGAGCACCTGTGACGCATTGCAAAGTAGGTGTGTCACTGTAACAGGTCGGAGTTGGTCAAGCCTGACACAACGAGGTCTCGCAATGATCCCGAACTCTCTGCCCAGCTCTATGCATTCTCTGCAAAAGCCGTGGCTCGTATCGACACCTCGGCACAAAGCGATTGTGCAACGCCCCCGCATTTGTTCCATTTGCTACTATTACAATGTGCACCCAACATTTTTGAAGTGATGGCTGGTCCCGCGCTCTCGACTATGCACGGACGGAAACAGAAGTCTGCCGGTGTGTTGCGGCAGTTCCATATCAAACAACCCCTCACCGCCCCGCATGTGTCGAAGCGTGCGTCCATTTCCGACCTCCTGAAGGTGGGCCTCTCGGGATGCCGAACTCACAATCGTTCCAAACAGCCAGCCGGCTTTCAGTTCTAGGGCCTAAGGCCTATCGTGAGGTTTTTGACATCTTTCTGACATCCTGCTTCCCAGCATGTCAAGCCTCTTAAGAAATCGAAATTTTAGCATCTCCTTCGTTTCCAAACTCTTGCACACAGCACCTTCTGCAACATTCTCGGTCTCACCAAACCCATACTCAAGTCACAGTATACTGCCCGAAAATTCAACCCACTTGTCGCCTGCGTTTACAATTAAACGCCGTGGGGCCGCTGAAGCCGGTGTGCGACGACCTTGCGTGTGATCACTGATGAGAACTGCTTGCAAGCATCAGCATAAGAAGCATGCTCTTCTTCTCAAATGCTGCAAACTAGTCGATGGCCAGCAGTTTCATGATAGCAGCTTGCTCTCGAAACTGAGCTTTGAAGATGCTGTCGAAGGTGCCTTTTCCTTTGTTGGAAGATGTCCAAAACTGGATACCCATCCGATGTTCCAACAGAATTCCTGGAGGTGGGACTCATCCAGAACACTCAGAGGGGCAACAGCAGGTTCTACAACATCAGGTCGAGCGAGTCTTCGCAGGTAGCAGACACTGCCGAATACTGTCGTGTCAGTAAGTGACACGCAATGCGCCGGGGGATACATGTTCAGGATTAAATTTTCCGCGAATGCTGACGGTAAAGTAAAGTACCTGCCTTTACGCCTGTGTCCAACACACAGACGCAGCCTTGGCAATGCTGCACCCACGCAAAGGAGCCACGACAGTAGGGGCCACTGCATGCCGCCTTCCAGTACAAAAAAAGCTCTGGTCCTTTAGGCTACACTAGTCTTTCGTGTAGCCGAGGCCTACCCAGGTGCGTTCAGCACAGTCTGCTATCAAAATTGCAGTCTGCAAGGCACAGCAGCTGCAATAAATGCACGTGGGATCGACACATGACGTCATATTGCGCCGAGTCTTGAGGAGCCCCCGCCTTACATGGAGACCCGGAGCGGAGCACCCGAACCGACGGGGCACCGACGGGGACAGGCCTGATCTGCCTTGAGCCAGAAGATGGAGCGTTCGATTTTAGATGACACCTGCTCAGCATCTCCTCGGTCCGGAGCTAACGCAAACCGAGACACATTAGACAATTAAAGGTTCTGGGGTGTTTGTGATTCTCGGATTGAGGCTCCTAGCAGAATCCTGTTGACAGTCTCGCGCCCGTGAGCTGCAGCCGAATCATCAAGATCGTCCAAAGTATCTCAAGGTTGCTCGGGCCCACCCGCAGGTTGGGTAAGCCTCGCCTGCAACTGGGGCAGTGGCGACTTGGTGCTCGGCGGCAGCCCCAGGTAGCAAGAGCTGCCTCACAATAAGAAGCACAATCAGATTCGCAGGTTTGAGCTTGCAAACTCGATGCTGCATCAGCTTACCAGGACGGCCTTCGGAGACTACAGTAGGGCTCGGAACTGCGTGGCATGCCGGCCAGCCGAATATAGAACAAAAGAGTGGTTCGGTGTGTGACATCATGTTTGGCTACAATAGTTCTCGGGACATCCAGGAAATCTTCCTCGATGACAGAAACTGCATCCTCCGCAGTCCGTGTCATGGCCGAACCTGTCAACACACGTCCGATAGCAAAACAAGTCATATAATCGAAATCAATATGGAACTGGCTTGCCGCACTGAGCCACTGGACATGCGTACAATGCTCGTACTTCGTCCCATGAAATGCTCCGGATTGGGCCTTGCACCGAACTCTCCTCCGGCACCTTGCAGAACCCAGCAGAGCTTTGGAAGAGTTGTTGTCTTGGAGACATTCGGGACACTGGTGCAGCAAGATCACACCGCCAATTGCCAGATCCCAGCCCTTTGCGAAGGTTCTGGCTACAAGTAGCACAAGTCTTGTTCAGAGGTAAACAGAGCCCTTGAAGCATCTCTGCCCACCAACACCACAAGCTCTGCGAACATCGTTTAGATTTTGTGCGTGAGTAACTTGAGTCCACATTCGATCGATTAAATGAATTCCGGCTGAGCCTTCGGCTGGTAACATGCCGATCCCACGCACAACGATGCACGCATCGACCTTCGGTGTCTTCTCTGACGTGGGGTGGACCTCGGCAAGTCGCGACTGAAACTGTATGAAGCTATCCAGCACCGGGGCTCGGGGCCGAATTCGCATGGCTCGCGAGCTGCGCATGTTAGATGAGCCGCGCACTGCTGACATCTCAGCCCCTACTGAAGCGGTCAGAGCTTCCCTTTTCCCCTGCGCAAAAGCTCTCTCCCCTCCGCTTACTTAATCCCCTTCGCAGAAAAGACTGGCCCACGCCCGACACCCCCTCCCCCCATTTCTTGTGCACTCTTTTTTTGAGCAGGGCTCTGAACCTGCTAATTGGGCCCTGGTGGGACCACTTCGCCTCACCGGGCCGAGTCGGACGAGGCGAAGCGTTTACACTTGCCAAGTGTCCGCCGACCTTATATTGCTGCTTGGCAAGCAGCTCTAGCAGTGGTATGGGCTGCTGACTCAGAGAGCAAATCATCAGAAGTTCAACCCACAGACCCTTGTGCTTGTTCTTTGCCAACTGCAAGTCCCTGAAACGTCCAAAGAGGCCCCGACCACGCAAAGCACCGCGAAGCCGTGCAACAGGAGGTGGCAGGTAAGATCCTCTACCTTCCCCCCACTGCCCGGATCAAGAAACGGGAATACACACTGCATGACAGCTCTGCGGTTGGAAAACACGGGACTCCACGCTCGCCTCCTGTTCGCTTGACGGTGGCACTGCAAGCACGCGCGTGCGAGGCTGGAAGAACCTCTCCAAGAGCACTGTGGGAAAATGAGAAGACAAACTTCAGGCACCCCAAGACCTGTACTCGCGTGAGACGAGCACACGACATCAGTCCAAGCGACCGTGGAAAGAACTTCATACAGTCGAGGTAGACTTGCCGCCAGTGGTCGGCGTGGAGTTGGCGGGAGGCCTGTGCCGAAGCAAAAGATTGGTAAGGTCATCGCAGGGCATGGCGACAGTGAAATCGCCTCGTCTTTGATGTTGAGGACAGGCGGGACGTGGGGTTGCAGCGACACGGAGAGGTTTGGTCCATCGAGGCTGCGAGCTGCTTTCGCCAGCTGCGCCTGCCAGCGTGTTGCTCTTCCGCTTGCAGGTGCAGGGATTCTGCAGATCTCTGGCCAAGTCACAATCTTCAAGGGTTCTGATGGCTGCACCAGCCTCGCATGTACGGGTGCTGTGCAATATAGACGTCAGAAGAGCGAGCTGTATAATGTACCCGATCTGATAAGACCTATCACGTTAGTGTGGGCAGTGGTGCAGTCCGTAAAAGAAGTTGACTGTGACAGCCAGGCTTTGGCTCCGAGGTGTTCAATGCTCAGAGTGGAAAGGAGAACAAACGAAATCCGTCCCTTGTCTCCAGCCCCCTTACAGACCGAGCCACAGCAAGAGCCTGCGCTGGCCCGCTGCATCTGCCTTGGGCAAGCGTCTGCAGCGTCGCTGCATTGAGATAAGGCTTGAGGAAGGGCTACATGGAGTGGTGTTTTTCGTAGTCAAGCTGCAGGCAGAAGAAGTGAATCGTGAACCAGGAAGCCCATGGCCTTGAGTTTTACCAGCACCGGCGCATATGCACGCTGGGCCTCCTTCTCATCCTGACACAAATGGCCGCAAGACGATTGTCGCAGAGGGAGACATCACAGGAGTCTTGCTGAATGAATGTAAATAGGAGTTAAATAGGACATGTCTTCCAAAATTCCATTGCCTTCTCTTCGATCTGCTTCGCCCGCACAAGGAGCAGGAAACATCTGTACAACAAAACGTCCGGGAGACCACCTGGGCTGCGATGATGTGGTAGTCAGGTGTGGTCTTCACCCGGTGCAAGTGATAACACGAGTGGTCCCGTGTGTCAGGGTTTGCAGGCAATCGTGACAAGCTAGAGTATGAGCTGGACCGTCAATGGAAAGCGCAGCCATCTTTGTCCGCCTCGCAGAACATCTCACGTTTTGTTAGCACGACCTGGCCTGTGATGTGAGCAGCTCGAACCCCGCTCTTGGTGCCAGCCCAAGTGGCGCTGCAAGGCTAGCGCCAGTGCCGGGGGCACTGCTTCGGGGAGTCCAGGGCATAGAGCCCGAAGCCCAGGGGCCTAAGGCGGTAGCTAAAAAAGTCACGAAGCAATTTGAAACGCTTCGTTCGGGGTCGGCCTTTGGCGGCCAGAGCAATGCTCCACCTAAGCTCTCAGGGCAATTAGCGCTTGCAGCAATCCATCCCGCCCGCGCTGCTTCTCAGCTCGGGGCACAAGGCACGCCCGGCTGCCCGCTCCTCTTTGGAGGGAGCGTGGAACTCTGCGGCAGTGGCCGCTTGGGTCATCGAACTGTCGCTGTACACCGCACATCGACTACTTTCGGTCCACGACAAGCTTGCATCAGCATGCTGCATGAAGGATATCGTACCATGGTAGACCAAGGATGACCATTTGCGTCTAGCCTTGTTCGCTGCATTGCCAACCTCATGTGTGATCCATGAAGTCTGATTTGGGCACCCTTCCTTCCCTCCGGCTCTGGCGGCTCATGATCGGACTTTGGTCTGCAATCCACTCTCGGCTGGGTATGTCTCCACGCAAGAACACAAGCAGAGGTGGTCCGCTTCGCTTTTCCGTGGCATCTGCGTCGGCAAATGCCATGCTAGAACTGCCAGAACTATGTCATGCAGGACGTCGACGGACAAGCCTGCGATATCTTGTCTCGCAGTTGACCTGGCAGCCAAACCATCGTGGTTCGATGATTAGATCACAGTTGGTGTTGATTATGTAACTGTCAGCTTATAATGCGCAAAAGTCACGAGAGCCCATGCCGAACACGCTTGCAGAATGAGACTTTCGTTTACCCACCCAGCATCCCGCTCTTGGCCTGTTACAGCACGGGTCTGAAGCTGCTGCTCAAGTACTTAATTGGAATATTCGCGAGGCCTAAGCCTTGGCGACGCCTACTATGATACACCCACCTGCACCATGAGCTCGTAGTCGACGTTGTAATTCACTCCGTTCATGCCTGGGTTCAACCGCCCAGGTGGCAGCTGTGGCTGTGCTGTCACTTGCTTCACGGACATCTTGTCGTTTGCACACTCGATACATGAACATGCTGTGAAAATGCACGCCGAAGCGTGCACTTTCTCCACGAAACGCCAGCATGCAGTCCTAGTCCTGCAAACGGGTCCGCTCCCTGAAGCTCTTCGCATTGCGGCGCAGCTGCTGAAGCTCAGCCGCGAAGCGCGACTGCACCAGGCCTGGCGCTACAAGAGTTTTGCTAAGTGGTAGCGCCCAGCCTAGTGTACAGCTGCCACGGGGTCGAGATGTGATCTAGAGCAGTTTCGTTTGCTTTTGGAAGGAAGAGCCGGGCCTGATCATGTGTTGCAGATCAGCGCCTCTAATTGCGGAGCTTTATGTTCGCCCCACCTTCTCAAGCGAGGACGTCCGTTCCGCATCGTACGCACCTTGCGAGGCCACTCTTGTCCCGACAGTCTTTCAGCAAAGTGCGTGTGTTTCACAAGGGCAAGTGCATGACGACATTGGGCATTGCTGTGCCGTCCCAACAACACCGCTGTGCTGCTTCTGATCTACATGGCGCTTGACGTGCCCGCAATAGTCAATGCCCAATGCCCTGAAGCACAACTGGTACGGGGTCCCTGCACCAAGAGCCGTGGCCGCCTGGTGCGAGGTGCAACAGACGGACAGTGTAAGTGTAAGACAGTTTGCAGCAAAGGTGATACAGAGGCGAACAAGATGGGTACGCAGCCACAACTATAGCTTGCAAATGGCCAAGATCCGCGCTCGCTGAAGCGCACCACCTCGCGATTCTTCACAACATCCAGACGTTTCCGAATGTTGGACCCAGAATTTGTCACCATCTTCTGCCTTGTTGACTCACACTTCCCCGACTTACCATATCGAACCCACTATCGCAGCTCTGACGCTGCATATGCCGGCGCCTCATAAAACTAGTTCTATGCGCGTCTACCGTATGCCTGCTACAAAATATCGGCACGTCTAACTGCTGCAAGTATTACGGCCGCTAGTAGTCACTGGTACTTCTTCTGCTTCTCCTTCTGCTCAACGACGGCGACAACTACTACCACTTACACTAGGACTAGCACTAGCTCTGGCACTACAACTACGGAAACAACAACACCAACAACACTACCGGTACTACCAATGCTGCCTACCAGCCAGCTACTACCTGCTATTTACGGCTGCTTCTACTATTGCCACTTCTACCCGCTTCCACATTATATTAAACACACCCCGAATAATAAACACACATTGGGGCGAATCCTCCCCAATCATCCTTGCCCCTTTGAAACCTGTTCTGAGCTAGGGTTAGGGTTTCGAGGCTCCAAATACCCTTAGAGTAAGAGCAAGAGCAAGAGCAGCAGCCGGGGCAAAGCAAAAGCAAGAGCGGGAGCAAGAGCAAGAGCAAGAGCAAGAGCAGGAGCAACAGCAAGAGGAGCACGAGACGCAGCAGAAGCAGGAGCAAAAGTCAGCGTGGGAGCAAGAGCCAGGGCAGGAGCAAAAGCACAACCGCAACCCCTCAAAAGCGGCAGAAGAGATAAAAACACCCCCTAATGATACACACACTTTCCTAGCCTTTTATTGGGGGGGCCCTCTCCCGTTTAATACTAGGGGGCAGTGATTACCATCGGTACTGCTACTGAACTGCTACAGACTTCTACTGCTGCTGCCGCTACTACTACTACTACTACTACTACTTCTACTACTGCTTCTCCTGCTAGAACTACGACTGCTAGTACTACCTCCACTACCACGACCACTACGATTACCACCGCTACTACCAGTAATACCACTATCACTGCCACTACGACTACCGCCACAACTACCACAGCAACAACAACAACAACAACTACTACTACTACTACTACTGCTCCTGCTGCTGTTGCTACTGCTACTTATACTTAGTAGTAGTAAGTACAAGTAGTAGTAGTAGTAGTAGTAGCAGCAGCAGTAGCAGCAGTAGTTTTTGTCATCCACTTGGCAAGCAGTAGTGCTAGTAGCAGCAGGAGTAGTAGTAGTAGTAGTAGCAGCAGTAGCAGTAGTACTGATACTCGCTGCTGCTGCTGCTGCTGCCGCCACGACGACGGCGACTAGAGTACACTACTGCCACCACCGCGAGGCTGCTACGGACTTTTACCACCACTAATGCTGCCGTTTGATACGGCTGCTCGTGCTATGTACACCGAACGAACAAACTGTATTCACGCCATTGCGGGTCAGAGCGACTGGCGGAACCATTAGTAGCATATCGCAACCCAGAAAACGAGATCCGCCTCAAGACTCTATCGTGCACAAAATCTTACGTGGCCGGAATTTGTTGAAGGAAGCCCACCACTATCCAGCAGTTACCCAAATCCATGTAGCTGAAGGAGGCCGAGGAACTCCCAAACAAAGGATTTGTGGTTGCGAGATCGGTTTTCGCCCGCGCGCTCCCGAGCACCTGCACCTGGCAAGAGGTGCTAATGAAATAATTCCTCTCTCTCTGGCTTGCCATCCTCAAGGGTCTGGCTATGCAAGGGCGCGTATCAGCTGTGAGATACGGTAATTAAAAGGTGTATCCTGGTTGCAATGATGGGCGTTGGCCAGGCTCTGCAAGTGAACAGGGTCTGCAGAAGTCTTTCCGGACGCAAGCCAGCACATGCATTCTTTCAACGTGCACCGTCACTTCCCTGTTTGTTGACCTTGCAAGTGGAACTCGAGTATTCAATATTGTGAGTCAGGTATGGCGGAAATCCATCACATCCTCAGCCAAAGATCTTTGGAGCATGCAGGTCCAAGCAGAAAGGTAACACTTCACAAAACTCCTATGTGAATTTGCGACACATGTGACGTCTTGAAACTGCCATCGAAGCTATGGTCTGCGACGATCGGGCCCCGAGTTCCTGTACTTCTCTGGAAGCCCAAACTCCTCGAGGCTCCCACCAGCAGTGCGGCGCTGCAAACTCAATTCGACCTTATGCCCACCAGCAGTGGAATGTGGATTCGCATTGCTGAACTTTGCAGACATCCGGATGAAACGCACAAGGCAAGTGAACTAAGCGGCCCAAGTTTTCAAAACCTTGAACATCTTCGATGCTAAACCCAATCCGTAAAACATCAATGAGCGCTTGCACTTCTGCTGCACTTGGCCAGACGACCTCACAAATCCACATCCCGTCCCCGAAATGATCCCTGTGCGCAACCCGGAATCCCAAACTCAGTACTGCATGTCTGGGCCGCGACCTCGCTCCGGTCAACGAAGACTCTGGCGGTCATGGCCGAGAGGTTGAGGTTGCAGACACTGCCCGCCTGGAAGTAAAAGAAACAGGGCATGTTCGCGATGCTGCAAGGGCCAAAGGCCAAAGGGTACAGGCCTTGTGTGTTTCGACACTCAGCTCAAGCTACAACGGTGGCACCAAACAAGCTTCGATCACAAACACACCAAACAAAACACACGCGCACACACACACACACTTGCAGACCTGTCATCCTCTCCTTCTGCCAGCAGGTACACCGAGCGGATCAGACTCGGCACACCATGATTGTGGCAGCTTCGTTGAGTGCGGTCCCACAACTTCCTTCGGAAAAAGATGCATGCACACACACACACACACAAACACACACACACACACCACCGGTCTAGCCGGTAACCTAGTAACGAGGATAGTCAGCAGTGCGAACGAATACTACGGGGGTGAGAGTATTGACTATGGTGAAACTAAGGTGAACTCCGTTCGGCTTCAGTCGGAATGCTCGCACTGTTGTGGTGCGACCGGTACGTCGCCAAATATGCTGCGAAAGAGTTCGTTTGGCAATATCAACTGTATCGGTTTGACAGAGTTGGAGATGGAGGTGCAAGAATTTCGTTGTTGGTGAGCTTGTCATCCTGAACCGGGATGTCCATCCTGATGATGGGGCCGCTGGTGTCCCTGTGTAAGCCAGCCATAGTTGCAGTTTGCTTCATGGTTGGTTTGTGTAGCCAGGAATTGTTGAGGTAGGCCACAAGCTACTATAAAGTGGCTAAGAGCGTAGCAAAATACGAAAGCCGTACAATGAAACGCTGAAAGACAGGTCTGGGCAAAGTTTTCCAGTAACCACGCCAGTGTTCATCTAGGCACGGCCAAATGAAACAAAGGCGGCTAAAGCAAGTCCAAGCCTGCATTAGCAAAATTACGTCGGAGGTGTTGCAGCTGAGAACCACGTACCCGAGGTGGCCAAACATGTCGTTCAATCTATATATTTGTAAGCACTGGGATAAACTGCAGTAAGGTGTCGTTGTGGGCCGGTTCTCGAGCCTTCCAAAGATCAGGACGAAGCTGTAAGCGATGGTAGTGCACTTGAAGATCAAAGCCCAAACAAATTTCGATTGCGTCATTGCTTTGTACATGCTCCATCTCAACAGGTGTTTGATGGACTTCGTTGGTCAAGAAACGCTGTGTAGCCTGCGGTCAGACGTCGAGCAACAATGACCGGGCGATTGTCGACTCAACGGGTGCAATAAAAGGACTCACGGATAGAACCAATCAATCGTTGCAGGTGACGTTACAGCGCAAATCCATAGGCATGTGAGCCCGGGCTACCCCAGCGCAGGTGGCGCGTTAAGCGAGTACCGGCATGAACTCCGTAACTACCCTGGTGCACACTTGTGCATTCATCCGCAACCTCAGATCATTGGTCATATATTATAGAGCAGAGCTCTATGTATGTCGTCTTGAACCCAGCTTGGACCTGTCATCTGGACTCAAGAGGCTCCCGAGCATCATCCAACTGTGAAAATAACAGCAACTTGGGGTGCTTTGGGCGGCCATTATCTCGCAGGTACGCTGGGATGATCAGTTTCAGTACATAGAGAGCTTCGTCAGCCAGAGCTCTTTGGCCTCCTCTGCCCCCCTGCAACTTCAAAACCGCTTGCACAAAGTTGCCCTTGGTCACAGGGTTGGACACACACAGACACGCAGACAGACACACAGACAGACACACAGACAGACACGCAGACAGACACACAGACAGACAGACACACACACACACACAGACAGACACACACACACACAGACACACACACACACACAGACACACACACACACACGCACACACAGACAGACACACACAGACACACACACACACACACAGACATACAGACACACACACACACACACGGTTCTCCAAGATCAGCTGGGGCCCTACTCAGGAATGCCGCAAACTCTGTATCATGCAAGCAACAAGAATTTCAAGCAGGGAGGATCGTACCGGAGTGCCAGATCTGTTCATTGATGCAGGATATTGTAGTGCATGGGCCGTGCTTAGCAAACCAAGCTTACCCCTCCCTTCAAAGCGGTGACCTGCACTTGTACGTTCACGCCAGCATCCGGTGTTGGGGCGGATGCATGTTCGACTTCGGCATTCACATGAAGCTCCAGTTAGTCTGATGCAGGGGCAGAAGAAGAAGTCTGCCAGCAACATCTGTGCGCAGTATCCAACCAACACCTCAGAAGCCTGGAACGAGCGATCTGCAGCACGACGGTCGACAGTGCTCACAAGCGCAAGGTATGCCGGATGCGGAATAACCATAGTTAGTTATTGGATCCGATAGTGATCCGATGGTCTGATTTGCGGGGTTTTGTAGTTCAAGGCTTCGTGGCATGCGGGAGTTTGCGCTAGGCTGAGGTTGCAGTTGGCAGCCTCTGAGAAACTGGAACCCTGCAAGCGTTCAAGAGCCGGGCAGGGATGCAGGGGAGCTCATCGCTGACATCCCGCCGTCGGGCCTGCCGAGCCCAAGCATGCCCCTGCCGACTGGCAGGACTGAGTATCCGGTGAGTTTGCCGTCAAAGACTGTCCCATGCCTCTTCCGTTCGGAGCACACATAGTAACCGTGCTGCATGCTTTCCGGGATGAGTGGGAAACGCTGAAGTGTGGATGCCTGGTTGTAAATTTAGATGAATGGTTCGAGGATGCCAGCAGAGGCAAAGCCAGTCAGCAGGACTTGCCCAGTAATTCCCAAGTCACGGCTTCGCTCGGGCTTCAACTTGATCGACACTGGCTCAGCAACGCCCAGGAGACTTGCATACCGCCGGACCAGGCTCTGCGTGCCTCCAGGACTGAGGACCTGAAGCACTCCATGCAAGCTTTGGCTTCTCAGTGGCTCTCTTCCTGAGACAACCTGAGAGCCCAAGGTCATGAGCTCAGCAATACTATCCGTTACTATCCAAGTTGGCAAACTTCAATCGTACTTCATCAAATGCCAAGCCACGAAATAACATCGAACCTCACCCAAGGTCCTGCTGTGGTGAGGAGTTGGCTTGCTGCATCTGCCGTCAGGTCGGAACCAAGTTTAACCGGAACGGTGCCGTGCAGCCGTGCAGCTATCCAGCTCAGGGGCTTGCACATGTTCTGCATTCAGCCCAAGAAGGAGCAGGAACAAGTAGGTATTGACCTCGAACCCTCAGCTCATCATCGTGTCAACGTCACTAGGCATACTAGGCCAGAACCCCAATCGATTCGATCTGAAGCTCTCAATCCCTTCCGGTCCGGTGGAGTGCAGGGGTCTCCATCTCCAGAGGGGTGTCTCCGCCTGAGCTTGCAAGTCCGCACAGCAGACAGCTAATGGGCTCTAAACCACACGAGGAGTTGATGCATCCATGCAACGTAGCTATAGCTATAGATCCAATGTGTGCATGTCAAGGGCCAGAGTCACGGGAGTTCTTCGTCCTACGACCAAGTATCAAACAGCAATAGCAACGCGATCCCTACGAACGCCAAGCGATAGCCAACTTTCCGAGATGCGCGTTTCCAGCCTAGAGCTCACGCCGCTGTCCGACCCGGGGTAACATGAAATTTCTGAAGCAACGGTGCCTCACAGGACTGCCAGTGATTACATGTGCCGCCTGTGTCTCGCTATAAGCGCACAGAATATGTGAAGTCATGTGAGGTGGTCCATCGCATAGCCCTGAGGCCCCCGGCCACAAGCTGGGACCCTGAGGCCTGGGGCCAGGGGGCATCGAAGGCCGTGCCGTCGCAGTACTCGGGCATTCGCCTCTGTGGATGCAGGTCTGCCTGTGCCAGTCCGTAATTGTGCGCACTACAAGATCCGCCAAGATCTGTAGAGCAATGATAGGCCTGTGTCCTTCATCAGTGCTACGCAACATAAACCAAGGCTCAGGAGCGGAACGTTGATCGCGCGGCACCAGGCTTCTATCCTGACAGGCTAGACTCACCGTTTGGAAGATTTGCACAGGAAAATGTAGATTCGTTGGCTCCATTCACACAAGCGCGATGACATGCTGGGAGATCCAGGTTGTCCAACTTCGGGTGGCTGAGTCAACAAAACCTCCACAGTTACAGGAAATGTCGTGCGTGCTCGTGGAAAAACATGACGACTTTGCAGGCATGATTCTTTTCAAGATGTTTGCCCTTGCGCCGGGAAGGATGCACCACCACCTGGATCAGAGGCAGCCGGGTCTGTTCACGAAGGGTTTTGGGATTGTGACGTTAGGGACTCAGCGATGCAAGCCGAAGCTACAGTCGCATCGGATGGGGCCAAACTGGCGTTCTCTGCTTGTTTTCGCGAAGCGCACACACATCATCGTCAAAGCCAAGATGCAGCTTCGATATGCTTCTTGAACTCAATCTCTCCGTGAATCTGCACCTCCTGAGGAGATCGAGGCATTCTCTGAGCTTCCAGACGGCTTGGACACTGCAAAGGTCATCTGGGCTTCCTAATTGCTCACGGAAGGGAGTGGCCGATTCGATGCAAAAGGCCGTAGAGGTCGCGTGAAGCTACCAGTTCCCTAGCGCAAGAAACCGAAACTCTGCATTCATGCCTTCACACGCCGCTGCTGTGACACTTAGCCGAGCAGCTAACACTCACAGCCCAAAACTCAAACGAATCCTAAGCTGATGAAAAAATCGCTGACACAGAGCACTGCATTCGCCCTTTGATCTGCGCGGCGGAGTGCTTGACCGGCTCACGGTTTTCAGAGTGGGTGCCCTGAGGCCCGAAGCATAAACGTGTATGTCCGTGTGCACATGCCGTGCCTGTGCATGGTGCCCAGATTACAGGCAAGTAGTCTCAAATCTAGACGACGACTAATTACTACTAACAGTGCGTAGAAACAGATGCATGCAAGCACGCCTAGATGCACTGCATATAAACAACCTATGTAGTAGTGCTAGTACATGTATAGGATGCAAACGCATGTGAGCATATCCGCCCATGGATGCAGCACGTACATGCGCCAGCATATCAGACGACATGCCTTAGTATTGTCCGGTGCATGGAGAAGTGCATGCGCTTGTATGCATGCGGTGGAGTATTTGAAACACGGCTGTAGCCATGACTGGCAACAACAACCGGAGAATGCGAGGGTGAAGCACGGATCTATCTGCATGGCAATCTCTGGCAACTCCTAGTCTGCTTGCATGGTCCGTGTAGTCCATCCGACATGCGTGATGCTGTCGGCCATCGGGCAAGCCACCTTACCACAAGTTGAGCCTTCTGGAAAAACTCTACCCAGGCAGACCTGCCTAGAACGCGTGAAACCTTTGTTCAATCCACCGGTGTACCCTTCGTCTCAGGACGAAGTTGCACGTGCCGCACGGATGTTGTCCTGGGCTATATAGTGAAGCACTTCGGTTTTGAGCCGCAAGTTCTAGCAACTGCTCTCCACGGATTATCCTTTCGCAGTCGAATCATGTCGGGAGCGGTTCTCCGTAGATTTCGTGTATCTGCTTCCTGGCCCAAACCATGGAAACTGGCGCTGATACGACCCACGAGCCTCCCATGCAGGATGCCAAGCTTGGTCGCCGAGCGCTGGAACGAAGGCTTCAGAACACGTTAACACCGCAATCGTACCTGGACTCCGAACTCGGCAAGTGCGACTGAGTGGCGGGAGATCCGCCGTTGTGGGCATTCCAATAACCGAGTTGCCTCTGTAGCTTGGGACGTTTAGCGCGTCCCAAGCTTTTTGCAAGCTTTGGTCTGCTTGAAGCGTTTGCGAGATCATGAAAACCGTCTTGCCTGAAGTGAAGCCAGTCGTTCTGTCTAACGTCAGATGTATCAAAGCTATACGCTGGTTCTGGTGGCTTGGCTTCTATAGCAAGAGGTCTAGCGCAGAAGCGTGCAAGGTTCTACCGAGTTCTAAGAACTCATTAGCTACAACATGTTCAATTGCCTCGACATAAAACTCTCGCCACAGGTCTCAGAACTTCGGCTTCGAAATGCTTTGAACATCCCGCCTGAAGGTGCGAACGGGAAGTGTCGTTAGACCAACATGCCAAGAGCCTCCCTAAGTAGATTCGCCTTGTTTGGATGACAGAACTGAGTATCAAAGCAGCCGCCGCTTGCTGTCATCGTCATCCCCAGCTGCGGTCAAAGAGTTCAAGGCTATATGCTAACAACCATACACTTGTCGATGAGAATCTCAGAAACCTTCGGTGGAAGCAGAGCTTCGTGCCTCAGAATCAGTGCAGTCTTACCCCCACGGCCGCCACTGCCGCAGTGGCTGATGATGGGCTTTCCCAGATCTGGGGGAAGTGCACCTCCCATGATTAATGGAGGGCTATGGAAACTGTAATTTCACCTCCTGCTCTAATGTGAGGGCCACGGGCTCCGGCAGCTCTGATATCCTACCTGTTGGAGCCAACCGTCATATTTAACCTTGAAGCATGTTGAAGCCTCTCACGCCTGCAGCTTGGAGCTTTGCAAAGAACTCTTCTGTGGTGGTGGGACGTTCGGTCTGTTTCTTGCCGTCGATGTTCATCGGAACGTGGAGGCAGCCTGGAATATGGAAACCGTGAAGCAACAGGCCAGCAATTGCCCTACAGGTGCAGGCCCCGAAAGACGAACATGGCGCCACACGAATGACACGTGCAATAGGCTGGACATCTAGGCTGGACATCTAGAAGCTCGGCAGGTCAGCCCTAGACGCCTCCATTCGGGCAAACTAGTAACTAGGCTTTTAGAACTGCTTGACAGGTTGACATTGAAGGACGGGGCGCGAACCCATCGACGCTAGGAGAACGCGAGACTTCGGATATGTTACTTGCAGATCAGCGCTAGCGGCGGCATGCAACCCTGCAAAGGAAGCAACTGAAGCCTCCCGTGGCCCCTTACCGCCAAAGCCATGTGGCTAACAGCGTTTTGGCAGAAGCCAAGGCCGCAATTATGATATGTGCATAGCAAAGACAAGTTTTGCCAGCACGGACCCCCGACAAACAATAAGACGCCAACACCACAGCGTGAGGCGCGCGCCGGACGCGTCCTATGTGTACAAATAATATAGTAATAGGAGGCAGGGACCAGATTTGCACCATGTACTGCGAATAATAGGACGCGACGAATGCCTTTCCTTGGGGCTCGCGCCCTGTGCTCACCTCAATCCAGTCTCTGTGCTCTGCACCTAAGAACCCCATGGTGCCACCACAGTCTTTGGGGAACTACACCAAGTGCTCAGCAGCCTGAAGCTTTGATCCAAACGTGAGCCGAATTCCGCTGATACTAGTAACCGAAGCTTTGAGAAACAACATCTTGCCACCTTCAAGGGCCGCGCCGCCTTTCTGCCCTTCCACCTCGGTGCACTTCTGCACTCTGGAAAGGCTTGTCGGGTCGGCTGCAGTCTCACCATTCGTGTCTTTAGCGCCATGACTGGGCCGCGAATGACTGGGAAGATTCAGAAACCGTGGAGCACTCTTCAGGACTAAATGCTGCCTTCTCCGTCGTGGCCGTGGCCCACTGTCTCTCGCTGCACGGCACTTTCCACAACAAAATTTCGTGAACGGTAGCAAGTCCAGACATGACGGTGCAGGCTCCGACGAGCTCATCCCATTTCAAGGACATGTAGCATCAGGAGGCGGTCTAGCTACTAGTTTCGTAGCTCTTGCAAGACACAAGCACGCCACTCTGCCTCGTTAGAATCCCTGGCATCGATGATGATGGGATCCTGCCTGCAGTGCGCAGGTCTGGACCCCGAGGTCCATGCGTTTGCCACTTTGCACGTGCTCTCACGAAAGACCCTTGCTTAGGACGGGCTGGAAGGGTGCAATTGGATTACACGACTTCCTTCTTGCCCGTTCGGGATTGTCGCATGTGATGTTAACGCCATTCTACATTGCAGTTCTGCCCTCAGGCATTCTCGGCATTAAACTGCATAGCTGGACAATGCAACATAACGGCTACGTATTAAAAGGAAGTTCAAGATCAACCTGCAGACCAGCTGCAAGCCGGCTAGGACGGAGCTGTCGGCGACCGCAGGCGGCTGCGAGAGCCTGGGATGTGGTGTTGCACATACCTTCGTCAACTCCTACCAGGCCACATATTGTCAGCACTACTGTAAGCAGTAAAGGATTCTTCTGTACACTGACTGTGCTGGCGAAAGGGGCGAATTGTCAGTAGTAACTACGAATTCGAGAGGAACCTTCGTGACAGGCTGTTGCCAAACCTTCCCTCTGCTGTTGCCGTCAGGGGCGGTGCTGCAGCAGCCGGCGGTTTTCGCCGTGCCTCCCGGATTCGGTCCGGCGAGCCACCGTTGTGGGCATTCCTGAAACATCCGGGCTTTGGGGGTTCATGGGCTAGCTTCCGAGAAATTGGGAAATTCGCTGTAGCTGGCTGTGCTGAACCAAGCTTTGTGGATCCATACGGGTGCACCTGCACGTCTCTGGCATGCGACTTCACCAAAACTTTCGCAAACTGTCGAATCGCGGTTCTGAAGTACAGCAACATTGTATTCTGCCTCTTCTCGAGATTTACAGAGCTGGCAAATCCGACATACAAAGAACATGAAGTATCTGCAGGTGGTCAGTGAATCAATCAGTCTCGCAGTCCAGCCGTCTTCATCCCAAAGGCAAAGATGTCTGACTACGAACACGGTTGGCTCCGCGACACCGCATTGGGCCTTTTTCACGTGAGACAGGAAGAAGCTCGAAAGCTTCAGCCAACATACCATCGCATGAAGGTCTGCAATGCAGGTTGCTGCGGGGTTGACGGGTCTGGTTTTCTTGACTAGCCCTGACAGGCAAAAAAGGCAAAGCGGACATGTCCTCAAGATGCGAGTCCCAAGAAAGCCTGCTGAAATCAACGAATCCCACAGCTTGGCCTCCGTATTCAGTATGATCCCACAAAGCGCGGCGGGAAAGCGGATCTCAAAAGCGCCGGTGCTCACAGTACTTCACCCGAGTTTCCAGTAGCCCAGCTCCCGGAGCAGTGCAGCAGCCTTGCCACCCCGGCCGCCATTGCCGCAGTGAGTGATGATGGGTTGCGACCTGAAAGGTCTCAAAGGTCTCGGCTTCGGCGGGACGCTCCCGCTACGTGCAAAGCGGGTTAGCCAGAAGGCAGGCGGCTGATCTTTGGGCAAAGCCTCTGCGGCAGTCAGCTTCTCCAGGAACTCTTCCTGCACTCTCAAATTTAGCTGCGATCCGCATGGATCCGGTCTGCTTGCCCCACGCAAGCACAAGCACGACATGCACGACGTAAGCGCGATGTTACTTAGCCTATGCTTTACTGATGATGCCGGCGGTCCTTAGTTGTTGGACGGTCCGACTGCTTCATGCCATCCATGTTCAACCTTAGCTGTGAACATGTCGAATCTTGCACGCGAGCGGCAAGCTGTGCTTCCGATTCAGCTCTTCGAGGAAGCCCAGTGGCGGCACGTGGATGCAGCCCTCGAGCGCTTCGCCTCCTTTCTTCCCCTCGACCTCCATGCTCTCAGCTTGTGGGGCATCTTCAAGGGTTTGCATCTAATTCATTTAGTTCTTTAAATATCCTAGGAGCTGCCGCAAGGGGGCCGGATTTCATTCATTTACTTCGGAGCTGGGGCCACCGAATTTCATTAGATGCGGACCGCCCCTCAGAGCACATTCAGGCAGGGACAGCGGCCGGAAAGCGACAGTGGGGAGCTGTGACTGTATGTCAAGCTCGGAGATCACCTGTCTCATGATCGGACCACCTGCCCACCCCGGCCCCCCCGCTTTGCTGTCGGTGCCTCTCCAGGATCCCGAGCGTCGATGATGACAGGGTTCTGGAGGTTTGCCAAAACGTCTTCTGCAGCCTTCTCCTAAGGCTCTCATGCTTCGGCATGGGATCGTGGGCGATCTGGGGGGTTTGGGCGGGGCTGATGATGGTTCACGGGTTTGGCCTTGTTTGCCGACGTGTTCGCACGCAAACAAACAAGCAAACAAGCAAAAGTCAAGCAAACAAGCAACCGACACACACACACACGACTAAGATGACTACCACGGTTTCAACTTACGGAGTCTGTGGCTAGCCGCGACTCCACATCATGGATGCAAAAGCAACTTGTGGCCCCGTCATATCCCGTTCTCTATCTTACAAAGACAACTCACACCTTCCCATGCCACGCTCGTACAGCTCTCGATACACAGTGCTCTATGACAAGATGGACCTGGCCCGAGCCGGGATCTTCTTAGAACATGTCAGACTCGGTTGTCGTCTTGTTCACTTGCTGCATTCACGAATGAGCCGGCAAACGTCAGGCAAAGCTGCTGCCCTATCAATAAACAACTTTGACCAGAAGAACGCTCACACCGCAGATCGATGAAAGATCTTGGCAAAGAAGCGACTAGCAACTCAGTCTGTTGACCCTGCTATGACAACTAGCAGGGTCAAGAACTCGACTCAAATTTTTCCTGGCGTCGGGAGGAACGGGGAGCTTCCCGGAACTTTCAGACCTGGATACTCTCAGAATCGACACATCAGACATCAGCATAGCTGAACCTGGCTTGTGGTGCAGCCAAGCGACATTATGATGGACCACTAGACACAACACGACAGATGAGGAAGGAGCCCAGAATGCTCGAGCCGCGTGGTCATCAAGAACAGCAAGAGCATCACAACTTGCCAACGAACTAATTAGCTTCCAGGCGTGTTCGAGACACTGACTACTCTGTATGTAGCAGTTATTGTGCTGTTGCGGTGTGCGCAACCCACGACTGCACTCACATTCATCGACATGTATCTACTATGGATCATTTGTAGGATCTGCATGGATCTGCGGGGTGTGCTACTGGTAGGTGCTTCGTTAGATGTTCGGCAGGAGGGCATGCAGTCGTGGCCTCGGGGTTTATTCTCAAGAGCCTTCAAAGAAGGAAACACCTGACACAAAGTCCGACCTTCAAGCAAATCTGAATATATATATATATATATACACGCATAAAATCTAGATGCTAGATGGCTCCGCAACCACAAGGAACCGATTGCCGTGTAATTAATAGCAATAGGACTGAACCCTGAACTCACACCCCCAAACAAACACACGCACACGCACACGCACACGCACACGCACACGCACACGCACACGCACACGCACACGCACACGCACGCACAAGAAATCAAGCAAGGACACACCAGAGAGCTCCGAGAGAACATCAAGCCATGTGCAGCTTCGAGTTTCGCTGTGCATCGGGCCTTGTACCCCCCAGCGGCGGTGTCAAGCACGGTGGAGTCCACATACAAGCGGTCTCCAAGAGCAACCTTCCGCCAGGGATTCCAGGCTCGCAGGGTGCGAAACACCGAGTGCCCCCGCAGCTGCCCGACCTCAGTCACTGCCTGAAGCTCGGCGTCTGTGTACTTCCTTGGCGCTTTGAGCCATAATTATGGTTACGAACTACTCGCTGTCAACCGTGCAGCACAACATAGCACGCTATCTTCCAGGGTGTGCGAGCTGGTTGCAGGGTCGCTTCCTTATCTGCTGTTTTCGTAATCAAACGAAGAAGCATCCGCTTATCTTCGTACGGCAGTGTGGTCTGTGAGCTGAACTGTTCGACTCTACTAAAGTGTAGGAACTGGGATGCAATCACATTAGATAGGACTGAATTGGACGCATAACGGTGGGTCCAAGAGTTGTCGATCAAAGAGAGCATTAATTCTTTCACAGGTTGCAGCGGTCCAGAAAGATGAAGTGTCCTGATGTGTAAGTGAGATTGTACAAACACTGACCTGCGACTGAGTGGCTCTAGAACGTGGGCATACCATTCCTTGGCATGTGCCGCACAGCGTTCAGGTCTAATCGAACTGGGTAAAACAACACTGGTCGCGACTTCAAGCCTACAAGGTTGTGCTCCATTGCCCCCCTGCGGCAATCCTGGCTTCGGCTCGCTGTGAGTGGCTCTGATTGCCTCTATCGAAGTGGTCTAAAACAGCAATCAGCCACTGCCAACGAAATCGTAACTACTACTCGGTGCAAGCTTCGCAAGAAGCTTGTTGCCCTTGTGTGCAGGAGTCTCGGTCCTGCGCCATCGACACGAGGTTCAGCTCGTTTGGGCGCATGTGTGTCGTTCTTCGGCTACAGGTACGGGTGCCTACGTAGTGATGGTTCCCCGAAATCATCCAAAGTGACTACTGACATCTGAACGAAACGATTCATAAGTAGATGACTCGCACAATGCTCCGACGGACGTGCACGCGCTTCCGCATGTCTGCAAGTACCTCTTTGGCTCTCACTAGTAAACACGAAGATCCAGGCTGGATGCTCCTGTTCCTGATTCGATTATTTAACCTACCACACATCCAATCTGGCCATGACATTGCCAGTCGCGGGTCATATGCACATGCTATGTTGTCAATCATTCTGAACGTGTGGCTGACGGCCAACACTCCGGTCCGAAAAAGTGGTTCGCAGCCGGGCACCCCGGAGCACAAGGTAGTCCTTCGCGCATGTACACAGTTGTCTGACTAGCAGAATTCCTCCGCTCTGTCGTACTGGCAAGGGATTTCTGGAATTGCATGTGCTATTCTTCAAGTTTTGACGTGGATCATCTCCTGCTTGAAAAGAGAGTTGAGGCTTGCTGTGTACACAAGACACCGGTCTGGACCATCAACCATCGGATGAAACCGTAGAGCATCGTGCCTGTCCGTACTGCTTGGCCACCGAAACAATGCCACGCCTTAGCTGGCAAAAGGAGCCGGGCCAGGGCACTGAGAGATGTTATGCCGCTATGCCGTTATATGCTCATGGCCGTCACAACGCAACATGCGCCTTTGTTCCTAAAGCTGCAGAAGGCCCTTCAAGTCCACCCTTCTGTGTCTCAGGCGGGTCATTCACAGCATTCAGGACGCCGTACTTGACACGGTCAAAGTGCTGCACCTGGAAGCGAATAGACGTTTTGGCTTCTGGCTTTGCCATGCAAGCAGGCTGAGGTTCAGGTTGCTGCCCTGCAGATGGGCTTCCGCAACTTTGAAGACTTCACAAAGCTCCGGAAGCCACTCTGACAAACATGCTCTCCTCTCACCAAGTATGCCAACTTTTTGCACAAACGTCCGGTGCAGCAATCGGACAAGAAGGGGCGGTTGCCCGCACAGCACTGCACTGGAAATCTGCCTCCGAAGTTCGAGGCCACGATGTAAGTTACAGCTGTCTTATGGTGCCTTATGCTGAGCATGACGATAGGCTCCTCACGACTTCTCAATGGCAAAGACACACACGCACATCTCGCGCAAAAACAACGTACTGTGAAGGGTCAGCATCCCCGAGTTCCACAAACCGAAATTTCGTTGGGTCGCACCTCGTCGTAGCTTTCGGGGAAGAGGCGACTTTCCCAGGCCTGTGGTCAGCTTGGGGAAGAGAGCACAACGGGATCCCGAAACTTGGTGTGGATTACAGATCGTTTTGCATGCCGGATGGACATGACGTCACCGTAACTGTCGCTGTAGCAAGCAGCGTGAGGTTCTTGAGGACATTTATTTTGGTATTGACAACTTTGACTTCACATTTTGAACAACCCCAAAAATGTGACTTCTTCCGCCCTCCCTGCTGGGCTGGGCCTTCTGATTCCTCTCCCCGGCCCCTGCTCGGCCTTCTGGTTTCTCTTCTTCTCAGGCATACGGGTCGTGTTAAAGCCCCTAGCATCAGGCCCGCCCGCAATTTCTGCGGACACTTGGGAGGAAGTGAAAGCTTGAGATAGTTTGTTGATCGAAAAGTCTGACATCATTAGACTAGCATGTTTCAACAATGCTTTCGGGCATTCCCCCTTCTCTTACGTCCAACACTGGGGTCGAGCGAAAGTCTTGCGTCGGCTTTATCTCTGATTTCTCTCGCCGTCTCTGTCCGTCTGTCGTCTCCCTCCTATGTACACATGCATGTATGTCTGTATCGGTGCACTTACAGATATTGCAATCACAAGAACAACATGTGCTTGAAGCATCTATCGCGACTTCTGCTCGCTCTCTCTCTCTCTCTCGAAGAGGAGGGTCCCCCGCGCAAATGCAAACCCAGCATTAGAGTGGAGTGAGCGTCAAGGGATGCTCCGGCTTAGTCCCATCGACCCGGCCTGAAGGAGAATGCATTGCAAAACAACGCGGATGCAGAATACAACAAGGGCCCTGTTGCCGTCATTCTCTGCCCCTGCAACGCCCTGCTACTGGCAGTCAGCACGTCCCGCCACACTTGTCAACTAACACTGACAGAACAGTGTAGCAGCTACTAGTAGCAACGACTTATACTTGCAAAACTCGCAAGATACACAGTAGGTGTAGAGCCCAACGACTACAAGTAAAGGAGCAAAGCAAGCTTTTACCTCCAGACCCCTGCCTTCCGCTTGCCAAGGTCGCTTGAGCCCCCTGTCGTCCGCGTCTCGAACTGATTTCGGTAGTGGGTGTCCTTGGCCAGATTCGTGGAACGTCTTGCAATCTACAACGGCGGGCTGCCAGAGCACAGTGCGAGCATTTGAGACCCTGAAGTGGGAGGCACAAACACATGAGTTGACGCGAACAAAGCCGTGTGAGCTTAACGTCTTCGAGCCGACTGGGTAATCGACCGCTTGAAAGCACGACACGTACTTCACCAAGTCGACATGGATCACGATGGGTGCCTGTCACTGGAAATACGACAGTTGCCTCATGTCTTGCGGTTTAGCGGGGAGTTTCAGGAGAACGGACAACCGGCTCACGGTGTCGCGTTCTCGCGTCATTCTTAAATTCCGTAACCACCTCATTTGCTCAATGCTGCTGATGAGCACTGGTATTGTGCCCAGCTGTGTGTGTGTGTGTGCACCTTGCCAACTACACCCAGGGCAACACGAGCTCCGTGAATCATTGACTGACTGTGAGACCTGGGCTACTCTGGGTGCATGTGCATGGCAACTATTTTGTACACTGGCCGGCCAACTAGTTACCAGCACCAGTCAAGATCAAGCAGTCATTTGTGGTCGAGCTCCGAGGCAGGACATGCGAGCCTCGTCCCTGATGTAAGCGAGGACTTTAGTCAGCGTGTCCTTGCTGTAGCCCCACCTGAGCGGCTCCACAAACTGATCGTGTTAGACAGGCTCTGTCGCCACGAACTCTATTCACTATCCGCACCTGTCCGAACTGCAAATCGCTCTCATCCTGACAACCATGTTTCAACTGGGTTCTAGATCCTCCGGAACCTTGGTTGAACACAGAAAGTCAACAAAGAACAGTGCTGACCAAGCAGCTTCGAGAGGCGCCTGCCGTGGCGGACAATTCGAGGGTGCAGAACTCAGAAAGAGACTCCAAAACTTGGGTCAACGAACCACGGGCATGATGCTTTAGGGACTGTTTGAAGTCTAGATCGAAGCATCGGAGTTTGCCTAGCTTACGGTTACGCACATGCCTCGTGTGCAGTATGTTTCACAAAAAATTCAGCTTCGCCCGGCTTCGGCCACTAGCCTAAACGCCTTCATCGAGAGAAGATCTCCGGCATGAAAACCCGTGCACAGGAACGCCACATTCTTACAACATAAAACGCCATGGAGCTGAATTGGATCTTGAACGGCTGCGCTTTCCGCATCAGCAGCAACCGCAAGAAGAGAAAAACAATAGACACAATAGTAATGACTGCAACTACGCTGTTCTGCTACCGGCTGTTCCGACGACCCGAGGCATTCAAAGTGTTCCGAATTGGTGAGTACGCGGACTTCGGTTGGGTGTTACTGAACGCATTTCCTGCGCTTTGGCGTGCCGCTGTTGCCACCTGCTCCCGGTATCATCATAGAACTGATAGTTCAATTTCAAAGTTTGGCCTTGCAAACGTCGCCGATGCAACAAAAGGGCATCGGTCTTGCTCCGAAACTGCTGGCTCTTGTCGCGGCAGATGCTCCGCAGGTTGGACGGTAACACAAACAGTACGCGATGGGGTTTGGGAACTGCGAAGTACCTCGAAACAGCGCGAGCCAATAATGGTAAGGCCAGTGACACAAGCTTTTTCAGACAAGGTGGCACGGATTTCTGCACACATGTTGACAAGCTCACACCGCCGTCGTTACAGCACACAGACCATAAGCATGTATCCCAAGACTCCGAACAAACGCACTCCTTGACTTCTACTACATTTGTCTGGAGTACATGGGCTTCCTTGAGTCGGGCCTTTGCAAGCCAGGCTCTGCATTCTGGCTCTTCGGCCGGGCCATGCTGGCCACATACCTGAGCTCGGAGCAGCCCTACTTCCTGAACACTCCGGCAGCACCTAACAGTTCCTCCAGATCTAAGGCTCAGCCGATCCCTCTGCAGCCGGAACTTCCGCAGCTTCACCCCAACGAACCCTGCTGACGAGTAGAACCGCTGTGGGAACACAGACGGTGAATGTGTAAAACTTGACACCCGAATGAAAACATATCTCTGCGACCCGAGGACCCTCACCGCTGCATCAGTCATGCTCTAACAGCCTGTCGCGAGCTTAATATAGCCGCCGTTGAATCCTAGCACAGCTTCCTACAGCTCTAAGATGGAACAAAACTGCAGCCAGCTGAAGAAGAGAAAACAGTTTCCGTATCCCGTCGGATGCCAGGATGCTGGACAGCCTTGGTCTGCTGCTCCGTAAGAACATTCGCGGCATCCAGCTCCCTGGCCAAGGGAACGGAGAGTCCTCTCACTAGGTGCATCCATGCCCCTTCATGCTCAGGACCACACGAAGTTCCAAACTCGTTATTAATTAAGCTCGTTCAAGCCCCCCTGCAGTGCAAACAGCGAAAAGACCAAAATAATTAAACCATCGAGATCACTTACGACTGAAACTGTCCGGTGATCTCATGTCTCCTGCAGCAATCCTTGCTCCGAATGCTGGATACCGTCAACCACCCCGAACCACAAGCAACAAAACCAAGCTGTAGTCCCAAAAGCCACCAACTACGCATTACTCATAATTCTTAGTCATAATTACTGAGCGAACACCCCACAACCACAATCCTTTTCCACCGAAGTCTGAAATCCTAACTTACCCGAATGTGCCAACTGATGCAGAACCTGGGAGCACTGAGCTGCGAGGTGGGCAGGAGGGCCTGGCAGGTTTCTCTGGCACCCTTGAATACTAAAACTAGCAAGCGGTACAAGTAATCACGCATGCAAAAGCGTAACTACATATGTGACAGCACAGGCATGCTCCCAGCCACGCTATATAGCACGGATAAGTTTTACTGGGTTCCTAGGAGGTGGAGCCGCTTTGTCTTTAAGTATTCTTTTCTGGGTCTTCAAGCATTCACTGGGTGGTGGGTTGCAAGGACCGCAAAGTTGCAGCACTATCAGGTGCTCGCGGCACTTTGCAGCTCCAATCCTTGTGCTCTACGGCGTTCAAGGCTTCAAAGGCCAGCCGTGCCCAATGTTTGCCAACCACGAAACATTTCATGATACCTGCATGCTTTCCAAAGCTTATGCAAAACATCAGTCCTCCAAGTTTGCTTCGCCATCATACACCATGTGTTTTGCATGTTTCCCAAAAACATCGGCAGAGTTGATAGCGAACTGCGAAACCGTGCATGCATAGCAAATGTTTGCGTAGGACTGCCTTCTCACAAAGGATACGAAATCGAGCGGTTCTAAACGGCTTTTCTTTCCATGCAATTTCAGAGCAAAGTAGGAGGAGTAGTAGTAGTAGTA